TGACCTCAGTCGTCGTGAAGCTTTGCCTGCTTCCGCGAGCGCGAGAGTCGAAAACCCGAAGCCACCTAGACCATGTTTAGCGATGGTCAGACCTTCCCTGGCAAGGGCCTTTCGCCCAGATTCCAGGTGTCAAGAAGTCTTGAGCAGTAAAGCGGAGGGTTTTTGGAGGTCATGTTGAAGAACTTTGATTCTCGGTCCTTATTTTGGGGGATCCCCGTAATTGAGGTCTGCACCTTGTTCCCGTTCTTTCCGAAACTTCCACGGTGAAGCGGGCAGATGCGATGTGGCGACCTGCGAGGTTCTGCTTTACGGTGATGGGCCTGCCCACTACGGAGCAGCCACTACTCACAGGCCTCAGAAACGCCAAGACTAGGTGACTAAGCCAGTCTTGAAAGTATGGTTGTGAGTCTCTTCGGGATTGTTGGTGGGATGGAATCATAAGCATTTAAGGCCTAACCACCCACAGTGGACCTATCTGGCATCTCATCGGCTTCTTGCTTGTGATGCTGCTGCTGTTGGTGTTGCTGTTGTCGAAACATGACGATTTGGAAACATTGCTGCCGATACTTGTAGTTCCAAGCCGGCTCGGCTGTCATGACACAGCTTTGTGGTTTTCTGTGTGGGCTCCGATACTGTTTGTAATTGCTCAAGGAGCATTGATACTTGGTGCTGTACAGCCGAACTAAACGTCAAGTGCAGTGCTTGTTCTTACTGGTTCGAGCCACTGGAGTTCAGCCACGCTGAATCGCCATCATCTCATGTCTCGTTAAAGCCGCCGCATTGCCCAGTTTACCCTACATTGTATGGATTAATGTCATCATGCCGCGATTGTACAGTAGCAAAGCTGCCACCGTTCGTTTCAAGTTGGCGGTCAATATCAATCCCCAAGGGTCCATGAACTTTTAAGTAGACACGTTGGCCACGCCCTGAAGGCCAACGGATTGATTTTACAGGTGCAAGATTTTCTAGACTCAGACATGTCGCGGTCCATGCGGTTTGGCGGGAAATTCCGTTACTTCGGGTAGTTTGTTACGGGTTTAGAGTTTATTTAGGTTATACCAATGCAGGAGGAGGGACTCTATGGTTCTGCTAAGATATGCATGACCCTAGAATGCCCCACCAGAGTGTTGCTTCATCTCAACCGACCGACGAACCAAGAGGCCTCACCTGGCTGGAGTCCCGAGAGCCTGAACCCCCAAAGGCCCAAACTTGTAAACTCTCTCGCGCAGATCGAGAGGTGTACCAAGTCGAAACTGGCTCTGCCCTAAACCCTAAAGGCCCTAAACCCTAAAGTCGAAGCTGGCTCTCTTTCACTTGTCGAAGGTCAGAAGGAGAAGTCCAAGGGCCTCTTCGCTTGCCCGTCCTTTGCTGTCTTCGGCACGGTGAAGATCCCGCCGGTGACGAAGGCAGGGTGAACTTCTGCAATACAGGGGCGTGAAGATATCATTTTTTCCATCCCTTGCGGTTTTCCCTTATGGGTTTTTTTTGTAGCCTAAGATCCCCCAAACTGTACTCTGATTCACTCTGCCTTTGCTCCCAAAGCTAGGATCCCATTCAGAAGACTCAACAGGGTGGAGAAGTTGAAAGCTCTCCCCGTTACCTTTGCGAAAGTCTCCAAACAAATTTGAAGTTCAGGAGAAGGCCGGAAGAATGGAGACGAAGCGTCAAACTGAAAACCAAAAGCCAACGCGCCCCAAAAAGGATCCTATGGGTCTGAACGTCTTCAGCAAACCTCAAAGAATGAAAGTTCCCGGAGCCCCACTAGAAAATCCTCAAACCCTAAACCCTAAAGAGTTGTGAGAGCCTAAACCCTAAAGGGAAAAAATCCCCAAACCCTAAACCCTGAGAGTTCCCACAGAAGAGAAGAGCCCTCTGGAGGTGATCCCCGGGCTCCAAACGCAGGCAGGGGGCGAAGTCGGAGACTTTGAAACCCCGTCTCGAAAAGGATTATTGAATATACCTTAAATCATATGAGTGACCCCTTTGTGATGTAACGGCTATTCCTTAGTTATGCAACATGTTGCTTTGCATTGCAGTTTGTGGTCATCGCATGATATGAGGTATATGATGCCTCTATCACGGTTTTGAGTCTGTGAGGAAGGCAGGGAACTCTAAGGGCAAAGAACTCATCAAACCCTACAGCCCCCAACAAAGTCAGCTTACTAAGTTCCCTGATCCTTGAAGTCAAGGCTTCTTTGAGGCTATTGGGCTCCACGGGGGCAGCCTTGGACTACTTAGAGCAATCTGGGACAGTCCACGTCGGCTTGACCCTTTAGACCCTTCGACCCTGAGGCTTGACGCTACGGCCTCAAGCCTTCGACAGGAAACCCGAATCCTCAGACCCCAGGCCCTTTGCGTGACGGTGTGGCGACTGTGAGTGCAGTGTTGACAATGTACCTTTCGGTGTATCACCAATGCTGAGGGTGTGGATCTACCGGTGCCTGTACCTCGCTGCTGTGCGGGCTTCGCCTTGGCCATGTGGGGAGCATAAAAACAGTCAAACCCTGAACCCCAACGCAAGGCCCCTTTTCAGTTTCTTAGGCCTTCATCACCGCCTAAGATCTCGACGAGAACCTTAATTATAGGCACCCTATCTGCTTCCTGGAGGTGGCTTATGGTGGTAAATGGAAGACCGCCATGAACACCCAGGTTTTCGCACAGGCCAAAAGGGGGGGTGGAGGAATTCAGACGCTGAAAGAGGCGTAGGGTGGATAAAGTGCTATGAGGTTTCTTGGATCAGAGTTCATGTTTCGATGTGTTTCGGCAATGGCTTCAGGATTTGCACGGGCGTGAGAAGCACTTAATGGAGCATGGGGCTGTTAGATGACCCAGAGCTTTCGGAGTCGGAGATCGTGTCCATCCTGTATTGGGTAAACCGAAAGCCCCGCGTCCTTTACCAGGTAACGGGCAACAACCCTGAAAGGCCCGAAAAATCCAAGCAAAACGCCCACAGAAAGCCATGAAAGGGAGGATGCGGGGAGTTAGTAAGTAGGGTCTTATAGGGTTCTGTATTGGGGCTTTCAGGGTTTATGTAAAAGGCTAGTCTAGTTTTTAAAGCACAGGGGGCCCAGTAAGTAGCTGTTCAATGAAGCAAAAAGGTAGGAATAATAAAACAACTATTAAACAGTTTGTACGTATAACCCTTGCGAAGCGAAGTCCCCTGGCCCTCCAAGCAGCCTTTCAACCCCGGACCTCCAACTTATGAAGCCCTGGAGCAGCCCATAGAAATCTGCCTACTAAGACCCATGACCCCTGTTCCGAAACTCCGGGCCCTTACACCCGTAAGTCTCCGAAAATCCTCAGAGTGCAGGTATGGAAAGAAGTCCAACAGATGCCAGAAGTTGCCGCGCACGCATGGACCGTCAAAGTGTCTTCGATGAGGATGCCTAAGGAGGGTGCAGGGCAGATGGTTTCAAACGCATTTCGAGTTCGGGGGCTTACTGCATGCCCTAAACCTTCAGTCGGCCCCTGCACTGCGTCTGCTGGGAGCATAAGCAGCAGCAGCACTATCGGCAATGGAATCGGGAACGTTGACATCAGCTAGCGTGATATCGGAGTATTCTGCAACAAAGCCGGCTGAAGCAGCATTCAGAACTGCAGATCAGATTGGGGTTTGCTGCTCCTGAGGTTCAAAGCATCCGAAATCCTAACGCCCGAAACTCTAGGAGCGCCCACGACTGAGAGCCACCTGCTGTCGATCACGCTCGCACCGGACAAACCGCATGCTGCAAATCATCGCAGCCGGCCCATCAAGCACATCACCGCCCGGTACGCACCGGATGGTAAACCTACCCGCCGCCTAAACTGAAACCCTTATCCAGACCCTGGACCCTTTACCGAAATCTGAACTTTGAATCGAAAGCGAAACCCTACCCAACGCTAAGCCTCAAACCGAAAGAGAGTCAGCAAGCTAAACAAAACAACACACACCAAGTTGGATGCGGACACCGTCTTCCTTCCGCATCGTCTCGGTCCCCTGCTGCCAGCTAGCCCGCCATCTTCCTACTTGCAGAGCCTTAGGCGGCACTTTGAGGTTTAAGACCAAGGGCTTCTAGGCTTTTTTATGGTTCAGGGATTGGGGCTAACTACCAGACGTTCTTGCTTGCAAGCCTGCAGCAGAANNGGTTTAGGATTTTGGGATACTTGAGACTCAGAGTATCTGCTTCTGAAACCATTTTGGGGGCTGCTGAAACTGCCACTCAGAGCGGCCAAGTGGGAGAATGCTACTGGTTGAAGCAGAGCGCCCAGTGAGCTTCGATTTCTTCCTTTTTCCAGAAACTGTCCCACGGGGCTTACTTGCTTTTAGATTCAGGACTTTCGGGTTGAAGGGCTTTGGGTCTCCTGTGCAGCTGAGTAGGTAGCCTTTGCCTTGTTTGGGCCTATGTCGTAATCTTGTGTTAGGACGACACTATATGGTCCTAGGCTTCAATATTGTTGATGGGGCAGGGAGCGGGGGGGGGGGGGGNNGGGGGGGGGGGGGGGGGGGGCTATAGTGACGTTTCGCTTGCGCCATCAGTTCACGGCATGTCCTTGCCATGGCTGGCATTGTCACCGTCGGCACCCCGAAAGCCTTTTTTACACCTGCATGACCTACGCATAGGCCAGAAAGCACGAACTCGGAGCCAAGCGCCTTGTGAGAGACCACTTCAGTCGCCGAGGAATTGTAACGAGGGCCTGCA